TCTGTTTTTGTGGGGGATGGAATGTATGCTCAGAGCACATTTCTAGAATCATGGAATTGGGGATCTATAAGTAACTTTAGAAATTATCTGGTTTGCCCACTAGTCTATAGGTAAAGAGAGAGGAAGTCTAGACAGGTGAAGTGCTGAGCTGTGGGGCCTGGTTGTCAGTCCCAGAGCCGAGAGTCAGACCCCGGCCTCCGGTGCCCAGTCTAGTGGAAGGGGCTCAGGCCGCCCAGCCGTCCAGCCGTCTGTTCTTATCTGCACCGTCCTCTACAGCCGCTGATCTGCTCCAAGTTTGTGTTATAATGCTTTGTGGTTTGTAAGAGGTTTTTCTGGCAGTGTAACATTTTTAGCTTACTAATCCTGTGTCATAAGCAAGGTACCGTTTCTGTTTTACCTGAGGAAGTTGAGATTTATAGGTGTTTAGTTGCTGTGCCGCGTTACGGGGCCACGTTGCTGGTGAGTGCGTGGCAGAGTGGCATTTTGAATCCGCAACCAGCGCTCTTTTTGATGTCCTTTACTTCCTTGGATAATTGAGAGTTAGTGGAGGAATTCTGATCCACAGTTACAGAAATTAGAGATGGAAAAGACCTCGAAATGTTATCAATCACTCGAAAACAAGTGTTTTCTAAATTTACAGTGTGAGAAGTTAAATGTTTGAAAGCTTCCATCCGTTAGAAGAAAATAGATTAGTTAACTTATTAAAATCAGAACCCCTGCCTTTGAATGTCATATAGAGAAGTATTTAAATGACGTCCAGCCGGTAAACATCACGTGCAGTAAAACCAAACCAAAGAAAACTGGGCTTCCCCTCACAACCCACCTCGCATCGCTTATGTATTTTGCGACTCTTAAGAATTTGCGACATTAAGACTCAGGCGGCTGCTGAGGAGCACTGCTGAGACTAGGTCACGTGCAGGGGGAGGGTGTCTTTCTGGAAGAAAGTTCTTTCCACAGAGGTCTTTTCTTATTGGCAGAGGTATGTCTGGGTATTTAGCTGTATAGAAATGTTTAGCATTCCCTCTGGTGTATTTCCTTTTTGAAAGTTTTATATCAATTCTGCTTTTAAATCACTCTAAGATAACATAATTCAGTGTAATTTTTAGAAGTATAACTCTAGTATAACTCTGAGCCTGCAGGAATTGGGCAGATAATCCAGTTTGGTTTTTGCATTAAAAAGTTTTCATCATAGCTGAGTGGTTCAAAATTAGAAGAACTAAAGGTAGAAGGACATTTGAAATTTATAAATTCTCTGCCAGCCACAATTTAACGTCCATTTTATAAAGTATTTGGGAGATTATTAAAGTTATCAAAAAACAGTAACATGTCAGGACTGAAAGGTAAATATGCTGTATCAGTAAATATTTTATTGTGTGTGAAAAGATAAAATCATGAGAATTTGGAGCTAGATTTAAATTTCATGTGTTTGTGTGTTTGCATGTGGAGTCAGTTGCTATTTAAGCAGAGCTGATAGTGTGTAGACAGGAAGCCAAGGCACCAGAATGTCTCTGCAGTCCCAGCACCTAGTAGACACTGGATAAACGTGCGGTGAATGAAAATGAATTGTGTAGTGACCTAGTTACCCAGCTGGCATGAAGCTCGGAGCCCAAGTTTCATAGCTTCTAGCATTTTTTTGCTCAGCTTACTAATTTTCTAGATTACTAAATACGGTACATCTAGCTACAAGTAGCATCTTAAGAATTTTTAAATGGTTTTTCAAATATTTGTACTTGTTAGAAAAGGATAGGAGACAGAGCTAAGTGTGCTGAATTACAGCTTACTGTCTGTAGACAGTGAGAGAATTATAAGTTATAAATGTGGAATTGTTGGAAACTGATAACTTGGTTGTTTTCCTCATGACCTGCAGTAGGAAATAAGTTCTGATTAAGAATAGAATTTATGTAAGGGTCTTATATAATATACTGAATATTTCTGTACAGCCAAATATCCGGATAGGCTTCCTCCCGTGGGAACAGGCTCTAGGGAAAGAACTTCATTCCAGGAAAGGCAGACTCCTCCGGTACAGGCTCACCTCCTCACCTCAGCATTTTGCTTTTTTCAGTTTTTGTCTTTTTAAAAAGTAGTGTTGGTTAGTGATTGGTACTTCTTATGAAAGAGGGGTGTCCGGACCCTTCAGCACTCTGCATCACTTGTTGTCCAAGTGGGACCCAGGACCCTCTGTTCTTTCATTGGATCCACAAGGTCAAACTGTTTTCCCAGTACCACTAGACGTTACCTGCCTTTTTCACGCTCCTCCTCTCATGAGTGTCCAGTAGAGTTTTCCAGAGGAAACTTGTCATGTGATCTCACAACAGATTGAAAGCAGAAAAGATTTGAGACTCCAGATTTACAAAACACATTTTACATAAACAGTGCCTTTCTCCTCACTGTATTTTTTTATTTTGAAGAAAAATTTTCATAAAAGTTTTAACATGTAATGGGTTTATTATTTTATTAGCCAATGGATAAACACTTTAATTAACTTAATTGCATCATCACTTCAAGAGTGTTATATACATGGAATAATATAGTATAACCTTCTAGGGATGACTGTCTCAGCATAATTCTCTGAGGTTCACCTCGGCTGTTGTGTTTATCAGTAGTTCATTCTTTTTTATTGCTGAGCCGTGTGGTATGGTGTGGATGTACCATAGTTTGTTTAAGCATTCACCTGCTGAGGGACATCTGGGTTGTTTCTGGTTTGGGGCCATTACAAATAAAGCTGAGCCAGTTTTTGTGCAAACATTAAGTTTTATTTCTCTGGGATAAGAGCCCAGGAGTGCAGTTGCTAGACTCTATGGTATGGTAGTTGCATGTTAGTTTTTTAAAAGACAGCCAGACTTGTCCAGGGTGGGTCAGGGGGTCCTTGTTGTAGGAGATTGACAACCACTACTTTATACAGAGGCAGCTATGAAAGCTGGTAAGTGATACACACAGTAGGAAAACTTGCTTGTGTTGATATCATCAAGCAAAAAAAGAAACTTTCCCCAGACTTTGGAAGATTAAAGAAAATGTTTTCTTACTCCTCATTTGTTTGTAATTGTAAGGCAGGGTCCAGTGTGTTGATCCCTTTGCAGTGCGGAAAATTAATGCGCAAGGTATTCTCACATATTTACATAGTTACATAATACATCTCAGGACTCTTACACATTTCAGGCTCCCATATGAGCCTGAGAACAAATTTTTTTTTATTGCATAATATGTGCCAAGACCTGGGAATACAAGAGATAAAAGAAGACTCTCTACCCTCAAGGAGTGAAAAGACATATGTCCAAGCACACAGATGTAGTAATTGCTGAGGTGAAGATATGTGTGAAAAGCAGGGACGGACAAGACGGGAAGAGGGCTGTCCCACGAGCAGGAGGGCAGCTGATGGGATCTGACCGAGGAGGTGGCGGTGGAGCTAACACCTAGGGCATGAGCAGGATTTTGCCAGGGCGCGTGAGGAGAGGTGTCCTCAAACTTGAATCGATGAGAAGGAACCAGAGCTGTTTCCCATCTAACCGTACTTCAGTGATAACCCTTAGCTCATCATCTTTTATCCTGGGCTGGATCTTCTAGGTTAGGGCCAGTGAGGACTCTTTCAGCCTGAATCAAAAGTACAATTAAGAGAAATGATTTGAATAACATATTTGGGAGTGTGCAAATTAACTGAAAAACTGTCACTCCTGAGAGTCCTTATGATGTAGCAGGATATTCTTGTCTCACAAACCAGGAAGAGCAAGCTGGTTCATCATAACTGGAGTTAGGCAGTAAGCAGTGTCATGTTGTAACTCCCTCTCCATTGCACTGGCTGTTTTTCAAGATATTATTTAAAATGTGTTGTAATTTTCCCAGCCAATTTAATAGCTTCATCTGTTTACTATTCCTGGAATATTAAGCTACACTTGATAATGTAGTTTGTAAAACTACATATTATGCTACATTTTATCTTGTATTTTGGAAAAATTTGACTATTATTTACTCAACTTGTATTTTAATATTTCAAATTGTGCTAATAGAATCTCTGACATCAGAATTAAAGATGGGTATCGCCTCCTGGGTGTGTAAAGGTGTTCCTGGCCACCTAACTGAGTAAGAGTGAACAAGCGTCTTGTCACCAGTCGGTCATTCAGCATTGTTGAGTTTCTCCCCTGTGGGAGGTCCCCCTCTTAGAGAGCTTGTTGCTGAGTGAAGGACCCCAGTGTGAAAAGTGGTGTGAGTTGTTGTAGAGGACATGCTCGCAAAGTGGGCTGGGAGCAGAGGGGTGGGCTTGGGGATTAGAAAATTTGGCCCAGGCGGCCTTTATCCTTACCGAATTCATGCACTGAGGCTTTCCTGAAATGCCCTTCCTCTTTCCTATAATTACTTCATTTACTGTTGGGTTATTCTGAAATAAGAAAGAACTGGACTTATCTTCCTCCTGTCTTATTGAGTAATTGTAAGTCGTATGGCTTTAGGCAGATCATAAAATCTGTCTGAATGTTTGTTTATCGTTAGTAACAGTAACAATGGCTAACACTTACACAGCACCTGCTGTATGCCAGGCAGTTTTAAGCTTATATTTATATTCTCAGATCACCCCTTTGAGGTAGGCCCTGTGACTCGCCCTGTTCTATATATGAGGAGGAGACAGCCCTAGAGGAATGCAGTGCAGTCCTAGAGCTAGCAGATGACTGAACCAGGGCCCTAATGCTCACAGACTGGCCAGGGTGCGTGCTCGTAACTGCGCAGGCCACATGGCGTTGAAATTCCTCAGTCAGTATTTCTGTGCACATGTTAGTGATCTGCCTGTGATAAATTTTCATTTAACGTTTGTTAACCCAGGGGCATTTCAGGGCAGTTGATAATGCAGTTGTTATTTGGTATTTTTCAATGGGAACATGTTATTTTTCCTCATGAAAAGATTTTGTGATAAAATGAAAATAATCAAAGAACTAAGTTATTTAGAGATTTAGAAAATAGCTAAAATATGATAGTCTTAGGAGAAATGCTTCCTTAGTCATTATGTGGGAGGCCAGGATTGTAGAATATTTTCTTGAGGGAAAAAAATTAGAATAAATCTTATCACAAAGAAGTACAAAGGATAGATGGATTTTCTTGCTGAGCAGGTAACAAGTCTGTGGACATTCTCTATGAAAATACCTGGGCTGAAGCCATCTGTCTGCCTGAGGTAAATGATGTTTCTCTCCATAATCTCACATGCCTTGAACTAATTTTTAAAAAATTATGATGCTCAGAACGTGAAGAGTAAGCCCCATGAGTTATAAAGCACAAGAAGTGTTTGCTCACTTAATGTTGTACTGATAGTTTACATCACAGGCTGCTATTATTATTAAGTTTTTTTTTAAATACGCAGTTCATCTAAGGGCAGCCATCCTGTGCGAGTCTTGTCCCACCCCTCAGCATTCATAGCAGTTCTTGTTAAATCTGGTGAAATGCTAATACTGTTTTTCTGATACATACTCTATGTAAATAAAGTAGCAAATACACATATGTGATGGGAAGAGAGTTTCATCAGTGAAATAAATGCTAGTGGTGGTAACACTGCGTCCTGCTCTTTCTGACCTTGTGCAGGAGGCTGGGTCTTAAGTCGCCTGCCCTGAGTCCATTTTCTTGCCTCAGACGTTTTATCTGCCCGCATTCCCGAGTGTGCAGGGCTTGCTCAGGCTCTGGGTCTTGGCCGAGGCGCCCTGGTCCGTTTTCCTCTCTGGCCACTGCTTCCTGTCAAAGCCCAGCATCTATGTTGTTTCCCCTTTTGAAAGTATTTCTGTCCGCAGAGTCAAACTGAATCAGATGCCAGTTCTCCTCCGCCTTCTCTGCATTCATTCAGCATCCTGTGCACGGCTTTCTTAGAATCTGACACTACTTAGTCCATTGAATTTTCATAATTGGCTTTCCTAACTGTCTTCTCCCTACCCCTCCTCCCTCTTTGTTCCGTGTTTGGCACATAACGTTCTGTAAATATTCAGAACGAACATAGCTGCTGCCTTTGGAGGTGATTTTAAACTCTGGTGCTACGGCAGCGGGAGGTGTGGAAACCCGTATGTGAGGGGAGCATTCCTTGCTGGCCGTGTGCTGAACTGAGGCAGGCTGCTGGCATAGAGGAGGCGTGTGCACGCACGCGCGCGCACGCACACGCACACACACACACACACACACACACAGTGCTGCTCTCAGGAAGCAAGAACCAATGGGAATGTGGAATAATACAAGGTGGGATTAACATTTTATAACATGTCTTATCTGTTTAATTGAATTATAGCAGGTTGTTTCTCTTAATGGCATAAAATAGTATTGAAGTTTGTGGAGCTGGCACAGATGTTAATTTTATATGCTCTTCAGGTTTATCTCTCTACCATCCACATTATATAGAGAGAGAATATTCAAATTTTTTCCCAGTGTAGAGCAAAGTTCAGTTTTTTTAGACAGACACTGAATTATCCTTAAGACTACATTTCAAAGACAACATCTTTGAGATAACACTGTAAATATATAAAATCAGTCAGAAGCAGGGAACCATGAGTGGGATGGCAAGTGCAAATGTATTACACAATATACCTCAGATTGCATTATTAACGTACTATGAAGATTAACTGGCATTAAAACCACCATTGAGCAGTGACATTGGGGGATTTCAGTCAGTAGAACAAATTGTTTCTTATGTCACATCATATATTAATATGGCATCTTTGCTTTTAATCCTAAATTCTTTTTTCACTGAGAACTTGGCAATCTAAGTCATTTTTCTTAGCCAGTAAGGGAATTAGTTGATTTCATTTTATGTTTTTATGACTAATTTATTGCCTGATCTAAATTTTAATCTTTTACTAAAACAAGAAGTTAACTAGTAATATTATGTTGATTCTTTTAGCCTGTCTTGATTGATACTACTTTTCTGGTTGTTTTGTTTTGTGTTGTCTAGGAAAACAGACCTTGGTTTTAGCCAGATACATCACTGTCTTTTAAAGGAAACCAAACCTTTAGTGGAAGTCTGACTTACGAAGATACAGAGACTGCTTCGGTTGATTCAGAATGGGAACGACAAGTGATGAGATGGTGTCTGTGGAACAGACTTCCTCTTCCTCTTTCAATCCTCTGTGTTTTGAATGTGGCCAACAGCACTGGACAAGAGAAAACCACTTGTACAACTACCAGGATGAGGTGGATGATGACCTGGTCTGCCATATTTGCCTTCAGCCTCTGCTGCAGCCGATAGACACCCCCTGCGGACACACATTCTGCTGCAAGTGCCTCAGAAACTTCTTACAGGAGAAAGATTTCTGTCCATTGGACCGGAAAAGACTTCACTTTAAGTTGTGTAAGAAGTCTAGTATTCTAGTTCATAAACTTCTAGACAAATTACTGGTTTTATGTCCGTTTTCTTCAGTGTGCCAAGATGTAATGCAACGCTGTGATCTGGAGGCGCATCTTAAAAACAGGTAAGCAAAAAAAAAAAAGTAACTCTAATAACTTTATAAAAAGGTTGCTCAAACAAATAAAAACTTGATTTAAAAAAATACCAAGGTATTAATAATTAAATGGACAAATCGAATACAGGAGATACAATAAATAAGTTGTATGGAACAGTATTTAACATTGTTATTTATCAAAAACATGAATATAAAAGTAGACAAGAAGTACCATTTTATACCTACTAATAATTTTTGCTGGTATAATGTGAAGTTGTTATACTCACATGGGTAGCAGGATGTAATGATAGACTCTTTCTGCAAGGCAGTTTGGCAGTTTGTTTCAGAAACTTTAAATGTCAGTATCACTGTATCTAGCTTTTTATCCTAAGGAAATAATCCAGAAGAAGGAAAAATTGTATATAAAGATGTTCCCTTCAACACTGTGCAGAGTTCAGTAAACTGGAGTCAATCTAACTAGTTAACAGGAAGGATTAAAAATACAGTAATACTGTTGGTGCATCAGGATATTATACAGCTGTTAAAAATAATATTGTTGCAACATGGAAATGAGCCTCATTTCCTCAGATGTTGCAGGCTCAGTTCCAGGCCACCACATTAAAGCGAATATGAAATATCACAATACAGCAAGTCCCGTGAATTTTTTTGGTTTCCTGGTGCATATAAAAGTTATGTTTACACCGTACTGTAGTCTAGTAAAGGTGCAATAGCATTATGTCCAAAGATTTACATACTTTGATTGAAAAATACTTTATTGCTAAGAAATGCTAACCATCATCTGACAACACACAGGGTTGCACAAACCTTCAATTTGTTAAAAAAAAAAATGCAGTGCCTGTGAAGTACAATAAAATGAGGTCTGCCTGTATTCCTGATTTTATTTGCTAAGATCTTGTAAAATTCTGCTTTCAGGGACTAGACTGAACAAGAAGTAGTGGTTGGAAACTTGAAAACTTTTAGTGGGGGTTTTTGTTCCACTAATAAAAGCTTTTTAAGTTAAGTAATTTATTTAACTGATTGTTTAGTCAGTTTTATAATTTGACTTTGATGAAAGACTTGATCTTTAAAATTATTTATACCCTTAGGAAGGGTTAAAATACATCTCTTTTCTCTTAAGTAGGTAGAATCAACATATAATGACCGAAATAAATGAATTGATTTCTAAATTTCAAAGTTAAGCCATATGTGCAGTGTAAATCTGTAGTGATCTTGATTGCTATGGAAAACAGTGCATAGTACAGTATATTGGATTTAGAAATAGTAGTTTAGGTCTGGTATAGAATAGCTTGTCATTATACTCAGAGGTGAAATCATAGAATTGAATCTAATCTTGTCCCCTCACTTTACGAATCAGGGAAACTGAGTCACAGAGGTTTAGAGCTAAGTAATGGCATGGCTAGACTTAAACTTCAGTATCGTATTTACCATTCTAACAGACCATGCTGACCTTTCCACAGGTTGAATCATGTTCTCTGCTATTATGTGGTAGTAAAAGTTTCATACACACATGAGTATACATGTTCATTCTGTTCCTAAATATCAGTGTTATAAAATGAGCGTACTCATTAGAAATAATTTAGATTTATGAGAAAGAATGAGATGTTATTAAAATGTCAGAAACATGAAGATTTATAGAGAGATTGCCTAAACTTAAGCTACGTTGTCTAAAACGTAAGAGCTAAGAAAAAAGGGGAGGATAGATATATAGACTTCTGAAAATGCATGCAATCTTGGATTCTTGTGTATTTTTGGTCACCAGCAGGCATCACATCTGAACATGATAGCAAAGACCGCCTAGAAATTAACACCAAACCTTTGAATCTGCCAGTCCGGGTCAGGCCTAGGTATGGCTGAAATTGGAGAAGATTTTAGGCTTTTCTTATTTCTCTCAGAACTGTTCTTTTTAGGAGATTAAAGTTCTTTTGTGACTCTTTTACGAACGTTGGTTTTGGAATGTTAGAGGGACTGAACAAAGCCTCAGTTCAGTTAATTATTTTGATAGCAGTGAGATAAAATTACGCAACTATATTAGGAATATTTTCTTGACTAAAATGCATACAAGAATTTAGTATGTAGTTGAAGTTCCATTGATATGTTCTATCAAGCTGTTTATGTTGATGATGTAAAAACTTGGAAATTGCAAACTATCCTTTCATTTATAGGTTGATAAAAGCTAAGTAATTATGTCCAGTTGAAAGTTCCATTTTCCAAGTGTGTTTATTAATACTTGGGCTACTAATTTAATCATTTCCAAAGTGTCTTAGGCCTGTGTTGTGAAAGATACATTGAAAAAGGGGAATGATTTGAAAAGGTAGGTGAGGTGCTTGACGTAAACAGCTAAGAGTGCCTATTGATTATAAAAAAATAGAAAGTTAACGCTCATCTAATGTTTGCTCAGTTAAATGGCTAGTCTGTGTTCAGGATATCTATTGCTGAGAAACTAACCATCCCAGATACCGTGACATAAATCAGCGAGCACTGGATTCTGCCAGTCAGGGATTCAGACAGAGCAAGCAGGGATGGCTGGTCTCTGTTCTGTTGTATCTGGGTCCCAGGTGGGAAGGACTGAAAGCCCGGGACTGCAGCAGCTGGAACGGGAGAATTTGCTTCCAAGATGGCTGCTTCCCTCACATACCTGGCACCTTGATGGAGGTCCCCAGAGGCATGCCTCAGCTAGGACTGGACCACAGGAGGGCCTACTAGTGGCCTCCCCAGCACAGTGGCCTCAGGGTATTGAAAGTTCTTATATAGGTTCCAGTAAATAAGGCAGAAGCTGCATGGCCTTGTAAGATCTAGCCTTGACGTCACATAGCATCCCTTCTGTGTAGTCACAAGACCCACCCAGATTCAGGGGGAGGGGACATAAGCTTCACTTCATGGGGAGAGGTTAAAAAAATTTTGCAGCTATGTTTTAAAACCAACACAAACTAGCAATAAGAGTGATATCATGAGACACAGAATTATGATTATTTTAATTATTAGTAGAAATACAGCATCAGAAATAGTTTGTATAAATCTGGTAATTTTGAGTTTAAAATTACCTTCCCTATTGAATGAAATTCTACTCTTAAGAAATCTGCTTCAGTGTGAGAACAGCTGACATTTTCTCCTTTGGCTGAAAGTAAAACATTTATGAAAGATGACTGTGTTTTTAAATAAAATTACTAATTATTAACTGATTATATATTAGGAAAACAATGAAGAATTTTAAAAGACAAGGGAAGATGCCCATCTTTGAAAGGAGAACTAAAGCCCTTAAGAAATACTCTCTATATAGTAATGACGCATATAACGTTTTAGTAATTATTTTGTGAAATTCTGCCAAGTAACGTCAACTATAAAGGATTCCTCCTCCCTTCTCTACCCCACATCCCTGCCTCATCCTGAGCCATTTAACATTTAAAGCTTATGGTAATTGTAAATGTTAATTTCGGGGGCTAAATTGAGCATTTGTGTCCTAGTTTATGGCAAGGTTCAGATTGATTTTTTTCTTTTCCTCTTTAAACTTATAGTAACAGTATTCTAAAAAGTTCATACGATATAGAGAAAACCTTTAGTCTTTTTCTACACTATGCTTTTATAGTTCATCAAGTAGTTTTAAAGCCTTTAAGGGTCAGGGTAGACTGAGAGAAGGTTGCTCTTTTAAATTCACATTTTAGCTTACTTATTTTTTCAATTATTTTCTTAGTTGCCATAGGGATTATAATTAACATGTTATAACAATCTAGTTCAGATTAATACCAACTCGATTTCACCAGTACACAAGAACTTAGTTCATAAATACCTCATTCCTTCCCCCTTCCTTTGTACTGTTATTGTTATATAAATTACAGCTTTATGCATTATATGCCCATCAAAACAGAATTATTATTTTTATTTTTTTGTTTTTTTGATTATTAAATCAAATAGGACCAAAGAGGAGTTTTAAACCAAAAAGTACTTTAATGCTGTCTTTTATATTTATGGAGTACCTTTACCAGTGATCTTTATTTCTTCATGTGGATTTGAGTTACTCTCTTAAGGTCCTTTCGTATCAGCTGAGGGACTTATTTTAGTATTTCTTGTAGGGAAGATCTGCTAACAACAGACTTGGTTTTCATTTATCTAGGAATGTCTTAATTTCTCCTGTTTTTTTGGGGGGGG